GGGGGCGTACTCTTATGTTTTGCATGTCTTAGCGGTTAGACCATTGACCACGCGTCCGAGCATTTTTTTGCCCACAGGACCGATCACCGATGGCCAATCCTCGCTCCCTACTTTGTCTATTGGATGGTCCAAAAAAAAAATCCGAACATGTAGCCTATCTATCCTATCGATATCACTTCCTTCCCGCCTCTTGAGGCCACTTCCTATGCCCCAGCATAAAAATAGGTTCGGCAAGCGAGGTTCGTATCATCAGGAGGGGAGGGCAAACGACGACGACGTGTTGTGCGAAGATGACAGCTGCAGAGTAGCAGAGGGAAAGGCTTATCGTATTGTGTGCGGTGCGCGGTGTGCGGTATCCCGGTTCTGCGCTCTACTGCTGTCGGGGGACATGTGCGACCCCGGTGAGATTTCACACTTTCGCGAGGCAAACACGGACACCTTCATCATCACACAGAGCAGGGAGGCACGGTTGGGGTGAGGGCGGCAGGAATAGCCGACTAACCACGCACCCATGGGCAACACGCATTGGCGAAGCAGAGAGCGAAATCCGCGCCCGATCAACGCAAGCCCGTTCGCCAACGCCTGTGCGTGACGCCAGAGTCAACGCCCGTGGCTATTCCTCAAAACCTGACAAAAAAAAACACAACAACAAACCTTGAACAAACCTCACCCACCTCCCGTCCTTGCTCCACGCCAAGACTTGGCCATGGAGACTCAGCGCCTCCTCCTGCTCCTCCTCCTCTCCTCGCTCGACCGCAGGCCTTCCGCGGCTGCTAGGACCACCAGGTGCCGGAAGCAGCTGCTTTCGCCGCAGCAGCCGTGGCGCCATAACCTTCACCTCGTTCGCCCACGGCCGGAGGGGAATTGTCGCCACGCTTGGACCCTGTCGGGGAGACAAGAAGGATGACGCGGCGCGAAAAGTTTTCCTGCGCACTGGGCGAAACCTAGAGTTGCGGAATGCTACCAAGCGTGCGCGTTGGTGTATGAGCAGAGATTTTCTGGGGCCGGGTGGCTGGTTTGCTACTGTATGCTCTAGGTTTCCAAACTCTCGCCCGCCGTAGTTGGGACAAGGGTACGTGCCTCGTTTACACGGGGGGACACTCTGTTTCTACCTAATCTATCTCAACAGACAGGTCTGACACCGACCTACTGTACCTCGATATATCATCTCACAGAAAGGCCGGGTGCCCATCTACTACCCACAGAAAATCTCACAGGTACCGCTTCGGGTACTGCTTACAGATTAAGGCCTGGCACCTATCTACTAATACCTAGATCACCTCGCATACCATAGGCCGGGCCCGTCTACTATCCACAGCAAACTTCTCAGACATCGCTTCGGGTATCTACTGGTCTACTGCTGTCCTACCTCGGCGTCCAGCCCCCCACGAGATGATGGGCCGAAAAACACTCACCAAGGCGACCGCAACGACCCCCTCCCCCTCCGTATCCGCGAGCCCCCCCCATCTGCTGCCAGAAGCAGCAACAACCCCGACCAGGGGCCGTCGCGGCCTGTGCCAGACTTTGGAGAGATGTTCCACCAGCGGAGGCGTGAGGGCGGAGGGGCGGCCGAGGGACCTCCCGGAGAGAACGGATAGGAACACCGACGCCGCGATGCGCAAGTAGTTTCGCTGCACGTAGTGGTGCTGTTGGAGGTGTTGTACCCAAGGAGGGGAAGGGGGCGGGGGTTATTTACGAGAGCAAAAGAGGGTGCTGCAAGTCCAGCAGCCGTCGCGAGGACGTGGAAGCTTGGTGCAAAATAGTAGGGTGTGCGGGGTGGGGCTTGGGGTTCGACGCGCAAGTCGTTTCGGTTTCGCTGCACGTTGTCGTGCTGTTGGAGTTGTAGCCAGGGGGGGGGGGG